CCCGGAGACCCCTGCCCCGAGGCCCTCACCGTGAGGAGGAAGAGCTTGCTGTTGAGCAGGTTGGAGAGCTGCGTGAGGCCCTGGCGCACAGTGGCGCAGCGGCCATCCTCCCCCAGCCCCTCGGGCTGGGGCTGCAGCGGGTAGCTGCCGTGGCCAGGGAAGAAGGCTCGCTCAGCGTAGGTGTGGTAGTCCAGGAAGGGGATCCCGCTGGCCTCCAGGTCACTGCTGAGGTCGGTCATCTCCGTCATGAGGTCTGCAGGCCAGGAGCCGCTGAAATGTGAGTTCCGGCCCGTGGGCGCCCAGTCCCCCCGCCCTGCCTCCGCATCCACCTGTGAACTCCTTGCGGCACTGGTCTCCGACGCCGGTCTCCAGGCTCTCCAGCTGCAGCAGCACCTTCTGGTAGTCCCGCAGGGCCTGCTTGCTTTTGTGCCTGCAGCCCAGGGCCAACATCAGCCAGGGCCAGGGCCAGGCAGGCCGCTGGCCGGGACACCCTTGTCCATGGCGAGGAAGGAAGTGTGCTGGGGGTGGGGGGTCTCACCTATACATGAGGGTGAGGAGGAGCACGGCGGCAATCAGCACAGCAGCGCCCATGCCCAGGCCTGCCTGGGCCTCCACGGGAAAGGCGGACAGTGGGGGCTCGGCCTCGTACTGTACAGGGCCCAGGGCCAGCTGCAAGTTGCCCATATGCACCTGCGGGGGGGCGGGGCTCCTGAGTGCATGCTGGCGGCGCCCACTTCACCTGCCCACCCAGAACGAAGACTCACCACAAACTGTGGCAGCACGGAGCCATTGGCGGGCTGTGGGGCACGCACAGGTGGCTCACAGTACAGGTGGGTGCGCGTGAGTGTCTTCACCAGGCACTCACCGCGGCCGATGTACACACGTACCTCCTCCTTGCTGATGCCCAGGTTGAGGCCCTCACCCTGGGACACACATGGGAGCCTGAGCTGCCGGCCCCCACAGAGGCAGCCTGAGTACCCTGGTGGGGCAGGGTTGCGGGTGGCCCTCACCTCCACGTCCAGGATGTGGCCTGGCTTGAGGCGGTAGGGGCGGGTGGGCCCCTCGTGGCTGAGGGGTGCCAGGCGGGGGTTGGGCTGGTACAGGAAGCCCTGGCCCCCACTGGCACTGGCGAAATCCACTTGCACATTGTCTAGGGTGAAGAAGACCCGCCTCAGGCGGGCCCCGTCTGGCACGGCAGGGCTCCAGCAGAGGAGAAGGCTGGACGAGTTGACAGAGCAGACGGTGGAGCACTGTGGGGTGTTCAGGGACGACCGCAGGTGGAGTGAGCTGGGCTCCACTGTGTGCTGCCAGGGCCATGGCAGCCCCCTCCCCCTCCCCACTGGGCATGATTAGGGACAGCCCTGTCACCTGCTGGTGAGGGGCTCACCTGCAGGAGCCCCCCACCAAGCTGGATACAAGCCTGGGGGTCTGCAGCAGGGGCTCCACAGCTCCTCCTTGGCTCTGGGTCCCGGGGCTGAATCCTGGAAGCCTGCACCATGCCGTCAGCCTCCAACCACACAGACAGTAGGGGCCGCTGTGCCGCATCTAGGCCAGTGCCCCTGACTCGGATCAGCCGTCCACCCCTGTAGCCGGATGAGAGTCGGGATGTGGATGGGCGGTGGGCAGCACACCCCAGCCCTCACCCCTCCTTCCCTCCTACCGGTGCACAGGCTGGCCTGTGGGCTGACCCTCACCCCCGAAAGCTGGCGCTGGGCTCTGCTGCTATAAGCTGGGGGTTGGCAGTGTAGCGGAAGGGGCTGGTGAGCAGTGTGCGCTGCACATGGCCAAACACCACAAGGACCGCTGCTTCTCCTGGGACAGCCTGGGGCCTGGTACGGCACACGATGGCCTCCGGACACACTGGCTCCAGGCTGCAGGGTGGGTGGCAGGGTGGCTCATCTCTGCTGTAACTACCACCCCCCGACCCCAGCCCTGGCCCAGCCCCCATAGTAAAAGCCCTACTTTGCCTCCATTGACAAGGGCAGGGACCACCAGGGCTGGTCACAGCAGCCACTTCTCTGAATGTACCACCCCCACTATGTAGAAGGGACACTGAGGCCTGTGGGGGTGCCCACTGGATGGCAGCCAGGTTGGGACTCACATGGGACAGGGTTGGCCACCCACAAAGGCGCTGGAGGTGCTGCCTGTCTGGAGGTGCTGACCGTGGATGGTAAGCTGGGTGCCCCCTGCCTGGGGGCCCCAGCGAGGACTCAGGCTCAGCAAGACAGGGTCCTGGGGAACAGCACGGGCTGGGTAGGCACGGCAGCCCCACCTGGTCCTTCTACTCCCCGGGCCATACCCAAGGCCGTCTGCTTTACCTCCTGGGGTCAGAGTGGACCACACCCTCTTTCCCAAGGCCTCTGCACACTTGACAGCTTCCTCCCAACCAGCCCTGCCGTATGGGGAGTAGGGTGGGACTCTTTCTCCTCACGGCTGGTCTCCCCGCCTTCGCACAGCCTCTTCCCCACCACAGCTTGCAGCCCCCAACCTGCAGTTGCCTCAACAGAACCCACTGTGCCCCCGCTGCTCCTGTCCCAGGCTTCCCGACCCGGAAATGGTGCCACCAAGTGCCCAGGGCAGCAGGTCCCAACAGCTTCATGCCACTGACCTGGTAGGTGAAGTGCTGGCTTGAGATACCCGGTGGCTGGCTCTTAATGGCCACCTGGACAGGCCCAGTGGTGCCGTTGGGGGCAGGAGATGTCACACACACAATCCTGGGAAGCCGAGGCCCAGGAGCTGCTCAGGGCCCAGGGACGAAGGGGACAGCCCACCAGGTGCTGCTGAGCCAGCCTTCTCCACCCCACCCCTGACCCAGGGCCCCATGTTTCGTGGCCGCAGGTCTGCCATCTCTCTGGGTGGCTGACTCTGAGGGCCTCCCCACCCATCCTCACCCTTCAAGTGCCTCACCGGGCCGAGGTGCGGTAGAGAGAGGGCTCAGGGTTGCATGGCCGACTGGCCACACTCACGGCATACTGCACGTCGGTGAAGGTCCGGCCCAGGTTGGAGCCCAGGATGGTGAGGGCCAAGCCTCCCTCAGGGGGACCAGTCAGGGGCTCGACCTGCAGCACCCAAGTGATGGCAGATGGCCAACCCACGCCTGACTCTACACCCCCCTGCCCCCACACCCACGCCTGACTCTGCACCCCCCTGCCCCCACACCCATGCCTGACTCTGCACCCCCCTGCCCCCACACCCACGCCTGACTCTGCACCCCCCTGCCCCCACAGCCACGCTGACTCTGCATCCCCCCCTGCCCCCACACCCACGCCTGACTCTGTAGTTCCAGGTGCCCAGCCAACCAGTCCGGCCAGGCCGGCTGTTGGGGTTTGGGGTCCTGAGGCAGGGCTGGTTTGACCACGGAGGATAGGACAGTGGGGGCAGGAGAAGTGGGACACCGGGGTGTGTGGCCCCGACAGGAGACTCACACTCAACCCTAGAGGCAGGGGCTTACCGCATCAATGCTGGGGGCAGGACACAGCAGCTCCACGGCCCCTGGTGGGCACAGGGGCCCGTAGCGACAGGCAGGCTGCCCGTCAGCACACCACACGCAGCCCAGGCTGCCGTTGGCCGCTTGGCAGTGGCTGCAGTCTGGGTGGCCCATGGCACAGTCATACAGGATTACTAGGGAAGGTCAGGCAGTGCACTAAGCGCCTGTCTGCCACCCACCCTGCCCTGCCGGTCTGGCTGTCCCCGGGCTCACCATAAAGGGCATGGGCATTGTCCAGCCGCTTGGCCTTGCCCTGGGTGACATAGATGGGCACTGGGAGCTCCCGCTGGGACATGGAGGGGTGGAACTGTGGGCAGAGCACGGGGTCAGGCTGGGTGCCCACTCAGGGCACCTCTGACTCTTGTCTTCTCTGGGCCATCCCCCAGAATGAATGTGACTGTTCCCTGCCTCTCCCCCAAAACTGGGGTCCAGGGAAAGAGGCTATGGGCCCCAAGGCTCTCCACAAAGATGGCAGAGCCCTGAGGGTCTATAGAAGCTGGGGGGGGCAAGAGGGTTTGGAGGGCAGCCGCTCACCTGATGGGCCTGGCAGTGGATGAGGCCCGAGTCCCCTGCTGTCTCCTCCAGGATAGCTGGCAGCCCCCGAAGTTCTCCAGGCAGCTCCAGCCAGCAGTGGAAGGAGGCAGGCAGGCCCTGGGGGAGGACGCTGTCAGGAGCCGGGACACACTGTTGGCTGCCCCCACCGCTCTGCCCCCTGCCCTCCTGACAGCTCACTCGGAAATGCTGAAGGTTCCGCACCAGTAGGGCCAAATGGCTCTCCCAGCCCACAGGCACCAGGTGGGGGCCTGCCAGGCCTTCGACCTGTGGGCAAGCCCCTGGGCCACGCGCCTGGACATCCACCTGGGCAAACGAGAGCCCTCAGCCCTTTAGAAGTCAAGGGGCCTGCAGCTGGGCGGCCCTGGGAAGGGTGGAGAAGGGGCGGCTCTGCCTCTGCCTGCAAGTTGGGCCCACCCACCTCCTGGGCACTGTAGATGGTCCTCTCGCCCTCTGGGCAGTGCTCTCCATACACGCAGTGGCTACTCTGGGGGCACCAATGACATCGCCATATGCTGCCCACACATGCGCGACACCTGGAGGGGCAAGACAGCTGCTCAGCTGAGTGTCCTCTGGGGTCGCCACCCCTGCCCCAGGAGGCAGGCCCAGGGACTCACGGGGCAGCCCCCTCCAAGGCCTGGACAGCACTGCAGTCATAGAAGGAGAAGTTGGTGGCAGCCACAGCCACATCCTCGAACACCAGGGCCAGAGGCACGGTGACGTGGTCTGGGAGGGGGCAGTGGGGGCAGGAGAGGTCAGGTAGCTCCTGCCCCCTCCAGCTCCCACCTCAGCCCCCTACCCCATGGGCCACTCACCTGTGCCTGGAGGGCTAAGTGGCACCTGGTCTTGGGGAGGGGTGACACAGGCCACATGGGGCCCTTCCACGTAAGCCAAGCTGTCATAGTCCCCGAACGCACAATGGAAGTATTCATCTGCAGCCAGGGTGGGGAGCCGGGGGACAGACAAGGTGACCTGGGATGCAGTGGGGAGAAACAGGGAAATGGAGCCAGAGAAGAAGGGACAGCCACTGCTGGGGGTGGCAGCAGAGCAGAGGAAGACGAGGACGGAGGCAGGCGGGGTTCATGCTCCAGGCAGTGGCCATGCTGCCCAGGGGGTCCAGGGGAGGTGTGTGCCTCACCTGACCCTGCTCCTGGCGGGGGTGGTGGCCTGGCAGCAGACTCTGGATGTGTGGGCAGTGGCTGTTCTCCTCATAGCTCCACAGCCACTGGTTCGGTTGGCCTGCCCGCCTGCACTGGCCCTTCCGGGTACACCTGCCAGGCAGGGGCCCATTGGGTCACTGTGGGGGTCCTAGGCTCCAAGGATGACTGGCAGCAGGGGACTGGGGAGGCCGGCACAGCTGGAGTGCAGTGGAGTGTAGTGAGCAGGAGGTGTGGAGGGGACTGTGCCCAGAGAGGAAGGGCCGAGCAAGCAGGGACCATGGCGGAGGCATGGACTCGAGCCGTGACTGAGAGGCAGCTGTGACTGGGCTGGGGTATACAAAGTGACTCGGGGCTGCCTTCAAGGATTCCTGGGGCTGCCGCATGGAGCATGGGTCAGAGGGGAGCTGCCTGGAGGTCCTGGTCCCTGGCTGGGGCTGCTGGGATGAATAGCCCACAGGATGGGTGGTGTTGGAGGGGAGGGGCTGCCAACCAGATTCATGGCTCGGTGAGATGGGGCAGGATGGGTGACCTCTGCAGTGGCCCCAAGCATCCTGGCACGCCTACGGCTGCTCCCAGGGGCAGCATCCTGGCACACACTACCCACAGGCCCTTGCCTAGGCACAGGCTCCATGCTCACCTGCCCTGGAGGACACACCAGCCGCACAGTGGGTCCTGGGCCTGGAGGCAACTGGCACAGTCAGGGAACTGGGGGCAGGCTGCCACAGGTATCTGGTCCACCTGAAGGGGCAGCAGGGCAGAGAGGCAATGGGCACGATACTCAGGCCATGTGTGCTGGCCCCTTCAGGCCCGGGATGGCCCTACCTGGTGGGCAGTCAGGACATAGAGATAACTGCCACTGCTGTCCAGCAACAGGTCTGGGCTGATGGCTGAGCCCAGAGGTCCCACTTGCTGGGAGTGGTAAACCTGGCCCTGGGAGCCGTGCAGAAAGACCTGAGTGGGGGACAAGGACAAGGCTTACCCAGATGGCCAGAAGCTGCCCATTCAGGGGACATCCCCTCCTCCCAGTGGGGGCTCCCTTTAAGCGCTAGCTCCCCTTCCTGCCGGGCCATCGAGGAAGGACACGTTGCTTTCCCCACCCAGCACCCTTACACCGGGACAGCAGCAGCACCCTGGGTGAGGCCCTGCGTACCAGGGACAGTTCTGCCAGGTGGGAGGGCAGCTATGGGGAGACAGGAAGGTCACCAGGAGGCACCATGCCCTGCCTGCCTCACCCAGCCACGCCAGCCACCTTCACCATGAGCCCCCCACCAGCTGGTGAAGGCAGGGCCGCAGGAGGTGGCACCCAGCCAGCAGTCACGGTGTGCCAAAACCCCCTGACCCACTGGTGGGATATGGGCTAAGAGGTGGAGGGTTCTGGGGGCTTCCCTGAGCCTCATGGACAGGGGCACACCCAGCCGGACAGCAAGGTGGGCCCTCACCTTGTGCAGCTGGCCCTGGGTGTCCCCCAGGAAGGCGATCATGTGCCCGTCTGCCTGGAGGGCTGCCACGGCGCTGACTGACTGCGTGAGCTGCAGCAGAGGCTGGGCCTCCAGGGCTTGGCGGCCAGCAATGGGGCTGGGGGTGTGTTCGTCACCACAGGGGTACGACTCAGGAGAGTCCTACATGGCAGGGAGTGGGAAATCAGTCCCCGGAAGAGGGTCAGAGAGGTGGTCAGGGGGGATGGCCAGGCTGCCAGTCAGAGGAGAGCCAGCTACCCCTGGGAGGACCCCAAGGCCCAGCAATCAGGGCCGAAGGGCCAGGGCACCTGACAAGCTCGAAGCACCCAGGAGAAAGGCAGAAAGAAACGGGTGGAGAGCGGGCAGGAGACCTGCTGATCCAGCCCAGCCCTGGCTGAGAGGTTGACTAGCAGTTCCCACGGGAGGGCACCCCTGCCTGGTGCTGAGAGATGCTGGCCTATCTACGGAGGGAGGGGGATGGAAGGGCACGCCACTCACAAGGGGCAGGGTGACACAGCGAGACGTGACACCGTACTCCACGGTGGCTTCCTCTGCGCCACTGGGGCCTCGGCCGCCCGCCGTGTAGCAAAGTCTTCGTGCCTGCTCCATGCTTGCGCCCAGCTCCACCATGGGGAAGGCGCAGAGCGCTGCCTGGGTACCCCTTGGGCCAGCAGCGAATGCCCCTAGCAAGGTGTCTGGGGCAAGGAAGGCGGCCTGGATGAGGCCCTGGCCCTGGCAGGCCAGGGGGACCTCCACGTAGGAGTACAGGTTGGCATCCCCCAGGCAGACGCGGGCCACATAGGAGCGGTACTCAGCCTGGGCCCGGGCCCCTCGGCGGCGGAAGACAAAGTAAGCAGAGCGGTTGTCCGCAAAGGCCCCCACGTAGCTGTTATTGTAGTCGGAAAAGTCGCCCACCACCAAGCGTCCCAGGCCCTCACTGGAGAAGGGCTGAGGCCCCGCCAGCTGGCGGACGGCCAGGGGTGGCACCCCTGCCGACAGCTTGCCCGCCAGGCCTCTGGCCACAAGCAGGAGGTCCTGGGTGGGCGAGGGCACCACCAGCCCTACCGTCGCCACTCCTGGGGTATTGGCAGCCACAAACTGCCCGTCACCAGGGTCCTCGGCCTGGTACAGCACCTCGGCCACGTCCCCAAGGCGCCGTGTCTCGCACACGCCCTGCCGCACCTGCCCACAGGCCACCAGCTCCTGGGTGCGGCTGCTAACCAGCAGTAGCTGGTTGGCATTGTCGGTGAGCTGCGCTTGCGGGCACTCGGCCGGGTCACGGAAGGGCACACAGTCGGGGCTGTCGATGACAGGGCCAGTGACAGCCATGGCCTCGAGCTGCAGCTCGGGGCTGAGCTGGAAGAGGCGGTTCACCGCGCCGACGTAGAGCGTGCCTCGCCCAGCTGCTAGTGCCAAGTGGTTGAGGGTGGTGTTGGGTGCGGAGAAGCGATGGGCCCCTGTCAAGGGCAGTGGCGGTGGGGACAGCAGCAGCAGGAGGAGGCAGAGGCTGAAGGGAGGCCAGCGAACCATCACGGGGGCCTGTGAGAGGGCACGAGTCAGGGCAGTGGGGCCCAAGGCTGGCAGGACCAGAGGAAGGCGGAAGGCAGGGTGGAGAGAGGCCAGGGAGAGAGGGAGGCAGAGAGACAGAGGGCGAGGGGGAGTGAGTGGAGATGAAGACAGAGTGGGCACAGAGAGAGGACAGAAGGAGGGACAAAGACTGTCCAAGAGCGGGAGCAAGAGGCGGGGAGGGAACACACGAGCACGCACATGCACACAAGGAGAGAATTCTTTCATCTCCTACTTGATATGCAAGTAGACTGTTGAAGGGGGGCAGGTCCCGGAAAGCCACAGAGGGGGCAGGGAGGGAGAGAGGGCAGGGGAGGGAGGGAGGCTGCGGGAGCTGGAAGGCTGGCGGAAGCTGTGTCGCAGCACACCCCTGCGACTGCCATCCAGACAAGAGAGATGGCAGCGGGGCGACAGGAGTGAGGCCACTGTGGGGCACGAGGGACAGGACACGGAGAGAAGCACTGCCCTGGGCAGCCAGGGCCAGCTGCAAGGGGGAGAGCCAGACAGCCACGGGCTAGGCAAGGAGCAAGTCAGTGAGGAGCAGGGTCAGGGCAGGGGTGGGGGGCACTGGGGTGAGCCAGTGGGAGTGCTGGGAGAAGCCAAGGGTGCCAAGAAGCAACGCAGGCTGCATGGGTCTCTCAGGGTCTGGCACAGGGGGCCTCAGTGTGGGAGTGTCCCGGGAGAAGGAAAGCCAGGAGAGCTGGCTAGGGGAGGGGTAGGGAAGGGGTGCCACACTGGAGATGGCTGAGCCCCTGAGGGTGAGAGGTGAGAGCAGCCCCTGCTGTGGCCCCTCCTGCCCCCCGCGGAGAGATGCTGTCCTGGGCAGAGCCCCTGGAAAGGGGCGGACACTGGGCAAAGCTCCAGGCCCAGGCCCTGAGTTGAGCAGGGGTCCACACAGCTGGGCGTGTGGTCATGTGCCGACCTGGAGTGGGGCCGCTGGGACTCGGGGCAGAGCAGCGCCTGGAGGAAGGCCCAGGAGCCCTTATCTCAGGAACACAGGCTATCTGTGGCAGTGCCTGACATGTGTGAGAGGCTGCAGCCTGTGTCCTGGGCCCTGGCCAGAGCCATCCTGCCCGACCCTGCCCCTCTCAGGAACATCTTTGGGGACGTGGGGCCTGGGCACTTACCGTGAAATGGAGCAGCAGAGGGGTCTCCTGGACAGTGCGGCACATCCGCTCAGCTCAGCTGCCCCAGGGCAGTGGTGATGGGCATCAGATGGCTGTGGGGGGCATTGCCCTGAGTGGGAGGGAGATAGTCAAGGCTCAGCCCCATTCGAGCTGGCCTGAGGGAGGAGGGGTGAGGAGGTGGCGCCCAGGGCCTGGCGACCAGGCTCCCTCACAGCTGGCAGCTTTGTCAATAGTGGCCAGGCCAAGGCAGCCCTGCCTCCACCACAACAATGTTTCCTCTGTCCGGAGGCCAGGCCAGGGCCCCACTTGTTACAGCTGTCACCCCCACCCAGGCTATTCTGGACAGGGGGCTCCTTGCCACTTCCCGCCCTCAGGGAGCCACCCCCGGAATCCAGGGACAAAGGGCCAGGGTTCCTTCAGCCAGCCCTCCCCCTCAGGCCCTGCCACCCCTATGTCACTCAGCATGTCCCTCCCTGACTCCCCTGGGTCCCTGTGAAGGGCATGGGGTGGGCTGCGCAGCCCCTGCAATGCCCCTGCAAGTGCCAGTGGTAGCCTCGGGGCCAGGGCGCAGTACCAGTCCTGGCCCTCAATGCCTGTCATTGTCCAAAAGATCTTCCCCCATGCTCCTGGCCCAGCCCTGCCCCTGGGGACTGGTGAAGTGGTGCCAAGTACAGCATGGTGGCAGCGAGCAGGACACGGGAGGAGGCTGCTTGAGACAGGCTGAGGTGGAGTGTCCACAGGCCTGCCCCGCCCCCTGAAGCACCAGCCTGCTGGGCTAGATGCCATCCATGCCAGGCGCGTGGAAGGGTGGGGCAGCTAGCAGCTGGCCAGTGGCACAGGAATAGGTGCACTGGGGATGGGGTCTCTGCCTCCCCCATAGCATGGCAGCAGTAGGCTCCTGGGCATGGTGGCAGCAGGCTTTGGGGGTGGGGAGCCAGGCGGGCAGCCTCTCCACCCTGCACCCTGCCCGGGACTGGCACTGGCTCTCCCATTTTGGGGAAGAAACTCAGTTCCCTACCTCCTAACCCCAGAGTTACCCCTTGGGGACACCATGCTCCCAGGCCCCTAGTGCCATCGTCAGGCTGGGCTGGTACCTGAGGGCTCTTGCCTGACCCCAACCAGTTGGCCCTAAGACCCTAGCTTCTCCCTGGCCAAAGCACACCTTGAGGCTTGCCCTGAGGCCTGGTAGCCCCTGCACTCCGAGCCCGACCCTGCCCTGGCTCCTGCCTACCTGGTGGGCCACTGGAGAGGGCCAAGGAGCAGCTGGTGGTTACAGGAGCACGTCTTGCAGAGCCCCAGCCTCCCTCCCCACAATGCAATGGTGCCCAGCCCAACTCATTCCAACAAGCCTGGCCAGGCAGCCCAGCCTCTCTCTGCCCGCCCCTTTGCCCAAAGGCGCAGTGCAGGGTGCTGCTGCCCTCTGCTGGCCCCAGCAGGCATGATGGAGGGCTGACCGTGGGCACTGGGCTGGAGCAGGTGAGAGAAGGCAGCGCCCTCCTCTCGGCTGGGCATTCCATAACCTGGCATGAAGTACCTACTGGATGCCAGGCTGAGGCTCGGCACTGGCACTATTCAGCCACAAAGCATGCTATGGATAGTTAAACACACAAGTCGGGAAACTGAGCACGTCACCATCAGGCGACGTGGCCTTGAACCATGAACCTTGGCACACGTTGGGCAGGAGATGGAGCTGAGGCCTACCCCAGGCCAGGCCTGCACATCACATGCCCACGTGGCATTGAGGAAAACCAGTGTTTCCCACTGACTGGAACACAGGGTTGGTTGAGGGCAGGCTTCCGGGCTGTGGCAGGGTCTATGCTGCCAGGCTTGACAACTTGGACTTGCCTCGCCATGGGCAACTGTAAGCTGGTAGCCCTGGGGCAGAGAATGTGGGGAGACCTGGACCAGGGGTGGTCATGGGCATGGAGAGAGGCAGGCGCGTTCTAGAGGCCTCCGGGAGGCAGCATTCTGAGAACTGTGCGTTGGACCGTGGCAGGAGGACAAGGCGACAAGGCAGGAGAAACCAGGCGAACCTGGGACTTTTCTGCTGGGGCACTGTTCCCCTGGGGCAGGTTCACCCACGGAGGGGTGGGCGGAAGGGGAAGAACAGTAAGACTGAGGGGCCCACGAGGGAGGAAGAAATGCTGATGGGGCTGGGGAGGCCTAGGGGTGAGAAGCTTGGCTCAGGTGACTGAAGCCCTGGGGGCGGTCAGGGTGGGGGGCTGGGTGTTTGCCCCGGAGCCCAAAGGCCCAGCAGACTTCGGGTGTGGGGGCTTCCCCGAGCAGCTGTGTTATTCTTTCCAATCTGCATGGAGAGAAATGGGGCATATAGGTGGGTGACTTGCCCAGGGCTTTGGTCTGACGTCAGTTCCCCAGAGAGCACTCCACGGAGATGGGATTAGAAGCGAGGCATTCTGGGTCCCAGAGCCAGAGCCTGTCACCTGCAAGCACTGAGGACGTGGAGGCAAAGCAGGCAGGCCTGTGGGAAGGGACCACCAAGAAGCGAGTGAGTAGCCGGCGAGGGGTCTCTCCCCAACCGGAAGGTCAGGCAGCCTTGAAGGGGCCAGGGAGGGGTCTAGAAGCTCTTCCTCTCCCTGTCCTTCCCCCCATGCCTACCCCAACACATACACACGTATGTCTTCGCTGGCCCCCAGATGACAGACACCTGCAATCTGGCATTGGGGGTGGGCTTTTCCTTTCTTTCCACAAAATAAAATAAATCAGGCTGGACACGGTGGCTCCAGCCTGTAATACCTGCACTTTGGGTGGCCAAGGCAGAAGGATTGATTGGGCCTAGGAGTTCTAGATCAGCGTGGGCAACATAGTGAGACCCCCATCTCTTCAAAAAAAAAATTAAAAATTAGCCAGGCATGGTGGTGCGAGCCTGTAGTCCCAGCTACTTGGGAGGCTGAGGTGGGAGGATCGCCTGAGCCTGGGAGGTGGAGGCTGCAGTGAGCCGTGATTGTACCACTGTACTCAAGCCTGGGTGACAGTGCAAGACTCTGTCTAAAAAAAGAAAGAAAGAAAGAAAATAAATCCACCCACTGGCAGCACTGTTTTCATAAATATGTGTGCATGCAGCATGCAGCATGCAGCTGCACCTTCTCCCTTTCTGAGCAGCCCCTGGTCTGAAGCTGGTGTACGCAGAAAGGATCTAGGCTGAAACGTCTTATGTCAGGGAGTTGTGCTGGTCCCTTCACCTGGCCTGGTGTCATCTCCTTGCTGGAAGGGGACTTGTTGGGTCAGTGGGACGTGGGTTTCACGTTTGCTGGGCTAGAGACACAGCTTTCAGCTTTCAGTGCTAGTGCCTCAGCCGGTACCCCCACTGCCACTGCTGCTCCACGTCTTCATGCACACCAGCGAGCAGACTTGATAGTTTCCGCCAATAGAGTGGGTGTGAAATGGTGCCTCGCTGGGTTTTGAATGAGCATTCCCTGACCACCTGTCATAGCGCAGCCCTTCATTTCTTCTGTGAAATGCCCGTGCATGTCTGCACCTTACATCCTTGGGGTATATGTCTTCAACCCACCTGCTACTTATCCTCTCAGTTTGCTTAAGTATCATGTTCTAAACACAAAATCTTAATATTAAAAATATCATAGCATTTGTCAATCTTATCTTTTTGTTTTGTTTTGTTTTTGAGACACGGCTAGAGTGCATTGGCACAATCATGGCTCACTGAAGCCTCCCGGCTCAAGCGATCCTCCCACCTTGGCCTCCTGAACAGCTGGGACTGTGGGCAGGCACCATAGTGCCCGACTAATTTTGTAATTATTTTGTAGAGACAGGGTCTTGCTGTGTTGCCCAGGCTGGTCTCAGACTCCTGGGCTCAAGTGATCCTCCCACCTCGGCCTCCCAAAGTGCTGGCCCATGACCTAGGAGCCACTGTGCCTGGCTCCCTTCTTTTGAATTCCCATTCAGACTGTGTATTGCTGGTATATAGAAAAACAAGGGATTTCTGTGTTTTGATTTTGTATCAAGTAACCTTGTAAACTCTCATATTAAGTCTAATAATGATGTTTGGGTTCTCCTTCCGGATTCTTTTTGGCGTTTTGCGTACACAGTCCTATCATCTGCAAGTCATGACTGTTTTGTTTCTTCTCTTCCAGTCCTTTTTGCTTTGATTTCTTTTTTTGAGATGAAATCTGGCTCTGTCGCCCACGTTGGAGTGCAGTGACACAATCTTGGCTCACTGCAACGTCCGCCTCCCGGGTTCAAGCAATTCTCTTGCCTCAGCCTTCAAGTAGCTGGGACTACAGGCACCTTCTACCATGCCCAGCTAATTTTTGTATCTTTACCAGAAACAGGGTTTCACCATATTGGCCAGGCTGATCTTGAACTCCCAAAGTGCTGGGATTACAGGTGTGAGCCTCTGCGTCCAGCTGATTTCTTTTTCTTGCTTTAATTCCCTGGAATTGCTTTCTTTTGCTTTTACTTCCTTTCAATGAAAGCATAGGAGGCGTTCGCAATGTTCCATTATTAAGTATGATGTTCGCAGGCAGCGTTTGGTAGATATCTATCAGATGTGGAAAGTTCCCTTCCATTCCTAGTGTACTATATGCTGAACTTTTTTGTTTCTTTGTTTGTTCGAGATGGAGTCTCGCTCTGTGGCCAGGCTGGAGTGCTGCGGCGTGATCTTGGCTCACTGCAACCTCTGACTTCCTGGTCCAAGCAACTCTCTCGCCTCAGCCTCCCTACTAGAGATTACAGGCACGCACCACCATACCCAGCTAATTTTTGTATTTTTAGTAGAGACGGGGTTTCACCATGTTGGCCAGGATGGTCTCAATCTCTTGACCTTCTGATCTGCCAGCCTCAGCCTCCCAAAGTGCTGGGGTTACAGGCATGAGCCACCGGTTCAGCCTGAATTTTTATTAAGTGATTTTTTTCTGAATGCATTGAGATGATCACAAGATGAGCACGGGGTCTCCCTCCTCTAATCTGTTAAGGTGGCAAATTACATTCATTCGTTTTTCAATGTTAAACCACTCTTGCATTTTCTGGGCTAAACCCAGCTTAGCATGATGTATGTTTTTCATATACGATTCTGAATTGGGTGTGGTTTTTTTTAGTCTCGTATTACTATCCTCGTCTGGTTTTGGTATCAAGACATCATAAAGTGAGTTGAGGCAGTATTTCCTCTTTCAGCTGTTCACTAGATGGAAACGATCATTTACTTCCATGTTTGCTGGAGATAATCTGCAAAACCATCTAGGCCTTCCTTGTTTTTTTGTTGTTGCTGTTGCTTTGTTGTTGTTTGTTTGAGACAGAGTCTCACTCTGTTGCCCAAGCTGGAGTGTAGTAGTGCGATCTTGGCTCACTGCAACCTCTGCCTCCCGGGTTCAAGCGATTCTCCTGCCCCAGCCTCCCAAGTAGCTGGGATTACAGGCATGCACCATTGCATCTGGCTTATTTTTGTATTTTTAGTAGAGACTGGGTTCCACCATGTTGGCCAGGCTGGTCTTGAACTCCTGACCTCAGGGGATCCACCCACCTCGGCCTCCCAAAGTGCTGGGATTACAGGTGTGAGCCGCCGCGCCCAGCCCAGCCTTCCTCGTTTTTTGTAGCTTCCTGCCCCTCCCCCATAGATTTTAAACAATGGATCCAACTTCTGTAATAATTATGGGATGGCTTAGGTTTTCTGTTTCTTCTTGAGTAATTTTTTTATTGTGGGAAAAAAACCAGATAACACAAAATTTGCCATCTTTTTTTTTTTTTTTAAAGAGACAGGGTCTTGCTGTGTTGCCCAGGCTGGAGTACAGCCTCCAACTTTATTCCTTTGCACGTGGATAGCAACTTTCCCCTAAACCATTTGTTGAAAAGACTGCTCTTTTCCCAATTTGTAGCCTTGGTATCGTTGTCAAAAATCATCTGACTATATACTTCGAGTTTCTCCCTGGGCTCTGGATTATGTTCCACTGGTCTGTCTCTGTCTTTCTGCCAGGACCACACTGTAATATGTTTTATTTTGTAATGTATTTTGGAAATCAGGAAGTGCGAGTCCTCCAACTTTGTTCTTCTTTTTTCAGAATTGTTTTGATTATTTGGAGTCCCTTGAGATTCTATCTGAATTTTAGAATGACTTCTCCTACTTTTAGTCAATTTTTGATAAACAATATTTTTCTAGGAACATGCCCATTTCGTTGAGATTTCAAGTTAGCATAAAAGTTAGCATAAACTTTCGTTGAAGTTTTCAACTTAGCATAAAGTTTTTTGGTTTTATTTTATTACTGATTTGTTATGAAATTTCTTGGGTCAAAACCAGATGAAGTTGCTTAATGTTCATTTATTTTTAATGTACAAAAATTGTAGTTTCATCTTGTTCAACCTAATA